GCAGGGGGTCATTACCCTAAAATTTCAGCCTCCTAGACTCCGTGGTTCGCAAGATATTAATTTACCTGTTAAAAATTTTCACGGGGCCGTACGTGTTACTCGCGGGTGCAGGAAGGTTGAATTTGAGCTTTCTGGGTCGCACTTGGTCAGGGGACATATCCATAAAATTTTAGCTTCCTAGCTTCCGTAGTTCCCGAGATACTAATTTTACCCAAAAAACTTTTACGGGGCTATAGGTGTTACTCGCGGGTACGGGAAGGCTGAATTTAAAATAGCCGCGTCACCCGCTGGAGGGGAACACTATACCAGAATTTCAGCTGCCTAGCTTTTGTGGTTTCCGAGCTGAAACTGCGGGACAAAATGTGGGACACACACACAAACACACACAGACAACCCCGTGACAATGTGCGTTTTGTACTGCTGTTACACAGCATAAAACGCGTATTGACGAGGGGCTGTCTGTGTGTGCGTCTGTACCGATTTTTCACCTCAAGACCTATAAAAGCTACAAAGCTGAAACTTTGGGAACTTAATCTACACACAAGCACGGGTCCCAATCCCCAAAATGGGCACCCTTACCCGCTCTCGAGAAATAGGAATTTCTCGAAATAGTAACGTTGAGCGTGAGCTGTCCATTGTCCCTCTTTGCCCCGCCTACTGCCTTAAGAGTGAGCATCTGTATTTGTGGATTAATCTGGCCTAACGGATTTGCGCAGGGCGGTGAGCGGCCGTCCTGCTTTTGCTGTTGTTTGGAATTTTTAAAGTTTTTATTGCTTTGCTGAAATCGTTTCCCAAGTCATTTTTGTGTCATGAAACTAACGCGTAAATTGTTTGTGTGCATTCAATAAATGGTTTAATAACCCAAATTTGAGGTTATTGGGATTGGTGGCGTCGATTCGATCGGAGTTGATTCGATATTTGACGGGCCTATTGTGACCTCTTACCGCTATATTGGTAGTGTTCAATTTTGAGCTGTCAGTAAGTCCGAAGTTGCACTTCAACTGTGGAAAGGAACCGGCAGAAGAGGAACGAAGACGAAAGTCTACGCTCCAGGAATCCAAAAGGAGAATTTGGTTTCCATTCGTTTATTTTGTTCGGGGACTTGTTATCTCGAAGTGATTTGAAGTTCCGATTGAACACCCGCGTGATACCCAAGTACGGTCCTTTTTATGGGTAAGCTGCTAACTCGGGAACCAGAAATGCCTGAAGGCTGAAATTTTGAGAGGATATTCCCCGTTCACCTAGATATCATTGAGCTCATACTCAGCCCCCGTGTTTGAGTCATTCCCACGTATGGCCCTGTGGAAGTTTTTTTCGGGTAAGTTGCTAACTCGGGAAACTGAGAAGCTAGAAGGCTGGGATTTTGAAGGGATGTTTCCTGACAGTCCTGTCTGACAGTCTGGAATTCTTTTAGCTAAAAACATCTGCCGGAAGAAGCAGTGTCATCAGCCACAGAAACCTGCGGGAAATCGTGCAAAAAACGTATCTTCGCACAGTAGACGGTGCGTTGGCCAATTATTTTATGTTCAGTCTAAAAATGTTGAGCTTATGCATTGTTTATTTAAATAATCAAAACTCAAAAAATTACTTCTGGTTACTGGAGAGGGTTTCGACTTTTAACTTTAATTTTTTTTTTTCAAGACTAATGGGCATTGACTCAGTGGAAAGCAACACTGTTACCCTCTCTGCCAGTGAGGCAACCAATCCCTTCTGCTATTCGTCCAATCTTTGATGCAGCTCTTAAAAGAAAACAAACAAATGCGTTATTGAATGGCTGCTGTGACATCTGCTTCATTCGAATCACTTTTGATTACCTCCGTCTTTCTCAAAGAGCTATTTGATAGTTCGGGGTTTCATCAAAAAAGTAGGCTAAATGAAACCATTAATTGGCCTGAATGACGAATTTTTAATTATAATCATGAATTCTCTCCCTCTTTTATTGTTAACATTTCTTTAAAATTATACACAAACTGCTGCGGCGTTTGTTCTTCAGGCTGCTTTAGGTTCTTCAGGCTGCAGCGTTTGTTTTTCTTTTGTCAGCAAGTTTGAAATTCAGTGACAAAATTCAAGCATTTTCCACGCTTCTGATGATTTTTCTTTTATTTTCAATAACGCACCAGAAATGATGTACTTAAAGACCTGGGAATCGACAACATTTTTGAAGTAGCCACCGAGTGAAGAAACGTTTGGTCAGCACATTGCTCCATTCGGTTAGAGTTGATAAAATGCTATGAACTTGATCATAAACAGGTGTTTCCTTTGTCTGAAGTAACCACTTAATTGTGCTTTAGCTGAGATACCAAATAAAGAGGTGTTTCTTGATGTGGAAAAAAGTCGTGCAGGATCTATACATTTTGGTGCCAGGAATAAAA